GTGTTATTGGTTTTGGCAGGTGGAATGGGTTGATTCTAACTCAGAGATTCTAAATACAATAAAACGAAAGATATCTAGTCTTGTGCCATCCTCAGAATCCATGATATGTCTGAGCTACCACTATTGTAGCTATTGTATAAATCCATTTCACTGGGGATCTTCCTCTTTTTGGCTGACCTTCAACTTTACCTAAGATGTTGTCTGTCTCTAAGAAATGGCTCTTCATAACATGTCCAAAGTTTGAGGGACAGAGTCTCATCATCTTTGCTTCCAAATGTTTTCTCGCAGCACATTTCCACAGACAGTTGTGTTCATTCTTCTAGAAGTTAACAGTATATTCCTTTTTTTTTTTCTGTCAACACCTAATTCAAAGGCATCATGCATATGAGCCTGGAAATAATATTATTTAGGTCAGGTATACCGCAATACTCAAAGTGAAATACTTGATTTTTAAGTTCTCTTTTGCAGCAGATGCAATACATCATTTGACTACGTCATTGCTTCATTCCTTCCATTTTGGTTGATAGTAGACTTAAGTAAAATTCAATTCCTTGACAATTTCAATATTTTCTCCATTTATCATGATACTGTTTACTGGTCTAGTTGTGAGAAACATTGGGTTTTTTATGTTGAGGTGTAATCCATACTAATGTCTGGTCTTTGATCTGCATCAGGAAATAGTTTATACTCTCTTCATTATAAATAGCAATGTAGTACCATTTTCACACTGCAGATTGTTAAAGAGTCTTTCTCTAATCCTGATGATAGGCTCTTCACCAGGGAGTACATGTTCTCAGACTTTTTGTATCATATACAGACTGAACATGAACAGTCAAAGAATACAATCCTGGTACATACTTTTATTTTAAGTCACATACTATTCCCCTGTTTTGTTCAAACTATTGCCTCTTACTCTTTGTGGAGGTAATAATAATGAAACTTCCTCTTACATACTTTGAGTATCTTGTCAGAAAGCCAGTCCCTGGGAAAAAAGACTTCATGCTGGGAAAGGCTGAGAGTCAGTGAAAGAGAGGAAGACTACAATGAAAGGGACAGATATAGTGACCACAACAATGAACTCAAGCATGCCTGAGATCATGATGATAGAGTAGCACAGGCGAAGGTTTTATCTGTTATTCACAGGGTCAGGATGGATCAGTCGACTCGAGGGCACATAACAAAAACAATTATGTGAAAGTTCCACAGTTAAGTGTACTGAATTTTCATTCTTTACAATGTTAACTATGTTTGTTATGAGCCACAAGGCTGAATCCCTCTGGCATGGTCAGTATCTTTTTTATTTCCTCTGCTTTTAGTCAAGATCCACCTGATAACAGAAATTACATCCATTATAGCACATCTTCTAAATCTGGTCTGAATTTTTGAAAGTTCCCTCCCAGTATACTGCTGCAACTACTTTTTAATCATTTTTAAGTAATATTTTACTTGAGCATATTATGTATTTCCACATTCTGTTGAATCACCTTTCTTTGGAATAAGTACAAATAAGAGATTACTTTTGATAAGTTAACTATGTAGCTATGTTCCAAATTTCTTGGCATAGACAGGTAAGAAGTAAGCACTTCTTATGTTCCATTTGTCTGTCAAAACACATCAGTTGGTATTCTGTCAACTCCTGCAGGACATAAAGTAGGAAGTCAGAGAAGAGGATAGTCCTCAGTAAGACTGACTGACTTAATGGCTTTACCAATGAGGCTCCAACACAGCAAGGTTTGTGAGGGTGGTGCAGTATTTAGTCCTGGACAAGATGAACTGCAGTCAACTCAACAACTCATGAAAACAACAACAACAAAGCACAGTCTCACTATCAAAAAATTTTCTGATTATCATATTATTAGTTGTGAATATTCTTCAATGTGAAGGCACTTATGGTATCTTGTAGCATACAGAATTCTCTCTGCCAGACTTCTACTAGATACAACTTCAAACACACATCTTAAAATGCTAAGACAGAAACTAGGGTCAATATTCTCAAATTCATTATCCTTGTTAACAATTAGACACTGCTGACTTTCCTTCTAGAGTAACTTCCAATTATTTTTTCATTCATGTGAAAACAGCTGGTAGTGTCATAAATAAAACCTTCTCTTAGCTAAAATACTTAGTCTCTTCTTAACCAGTTATAAAGAGTCCCTCGTTGGTGCAAAGGGTTAACATGTTTGACTGATAGTGAAAGGTTAAAAGTTCAAGTCCAACTAAGTCTTCTCAGCAGTTTGGCCCTTCTTTAGAAATCCAGAAATACCATTTGATCCAGCAATCCCACTACTAGGTATATATCCCAAAGAACTAATACCTATGATGCCAATTAACATACCCACCTCCATGTTTATTGCAACATTATTTATAACAGCAAAGTTACAAAAAAGCCTAAGCATTCATCAGTGGATGAATGGCTAAGAAACTATAATATATTCACACAATGGAGTATTAATGCATCACTAAAAAGTGATCAAGAACTTGTGAAATGCTGCATGTATGGATGGCTCTAGAACAAATTATGCTATGTGACATATGCCAGCCACAGAGACAATTATGTATAAGGCAATTGTTACAAAAACTAAGGGAAGGTTTACACACAAAATCAATCCTGGGGGAATAATAGTGTTGAGAAAGGAGAGCAAGAGAAGTAAAAATTATTAAGTAGATAAATTAGGTGATGAGAAAGGCAACAGACAATAATGGGTTGATGAGGCATCATAATTACATTAATCAATAATGATTAATGTTATAGAACAAATGTTTTATCAGTGTATGAAAACCCAATATGATTTCTAAATCTTCACACAATAAAAAGCTTTTTAGAAAAACAATAGATTTACACGGTACAAAAGTAAATAAATAAAAAGTGCTTTTGAAGGAAGACCTGCTAATCTACTTCCAAAAACTCAACTGCTAAAACCATGCCTTACAGAGCACGGTTCTACTAAGACACACACGGCATTCTACGCATCACAGTCAACATGGCAATGGGTTTTAATCAGCTGAACTTCTATTTTGATACTACAAACTTCCCAACATATTTTTTCATTGAGATTTTAATCCAAGTTTATAAAGAACATGGATTTCCAATCCTTCATTGTTACATATTTTCATCCCTGCCTCCCCTCCCCTCCAGTTCGCTTTTTTCTTTGGGGAAAAAAAGTTCTTTCATTGTTATACAATACCCCCCAGACCACTTTACTACACAGTTCTTTTTCTGGACTCTAGTCTTACCAATAACACCTAAGCATAGATTCCTTTTATACAGTTCTCTCCCTTATCTGTTTCAACGTCATGCACATCATTTATCCCCTCTTTTCTTAGTTTTTCCCCAACCCCCCTGTTTTATAACAGTGGCATTATGCAGTATTTATCTTTTTGTGAATGAGTTATTTCACTCAGCATAATATCCTGCAGGGTCATCCATTTTGTATAATATTTCATCAATTCTTTGTTTTTCAATGATATTCCATTGTGTAAATATAGCACAGCTTCTCTATCCATTCATTTGTTGAGAACTTGGGTTGTTTCCAACTTTTTGCTATCATGAACAAAGCAGCAATAAACATGAGTGTGTATATATCTGCTTGGGTGGCAGTTCTGGTTTCTTTAGGGTATATTCCCAGTAGTGGGATTGCTGGGTCAAATGGTATTTCTATTTCTAACTGTTTGAAAAAGTGCCATACTGCCTTCCATAGTGGTTACACCATTTTACACTTCCACCAACAGGGAATAGGGGTTCCAGGTTCTCCACAACTTCACCAGCATTTGTTGTTTGCTGCTCTGTTGAATTTTGCTATTCTTACTGGGGTGAGATGGTATCTCATACTTGTTTTGACCAACATAGTTTTGTAATAAAACTACACTAAATGTCATGCACAAAAATAAGAATTTTTGTAGTATCTGGACAAACTAAAAAAACATAACAATAAGATAGTTAGGGGAAAACAATATTGTTCTACTTAGAAAACTGCATGGTTTAAAATTTAAAAGGGAGTGTGTAAGGACTGTTTTCTCTCTATGTACCTATTTAATCTATATGCTGAGCAAATTATTCAAGAAGATGGAGAAGGAATGTGGCATCAGGAATGAGGGGGACTCATCAATAACTAGTGTTATGCAGATGACACAATCTTCTTACTGAAAGCGAAGAGGGTTTGAAGCATTTGTTGATTAAAGAATGCAGCCCTTGTGATGGATCACATCTCAATGTCAAGAAAACAAAAATCCTTAGCACTGGCCCGATAGACAACCTCATGATGGGTGGAGAAAAATTTGAAACTGTCAACTGTCAGCTTCATCTTACTTGGATCCACAATTAACATCCTTGGTATAAGCAGTCAGGAAATAAGGAGATGCACTGCACTGGGAAAATCTGCCGTTAGAAACCTCTCCAAATTACTGAGGAGTAATGATGTCAGTTTGAGGATGAAGGTGCATCTGTTTCAGGCCATGGTCTTTCTGATTACTTGCTATGCATCTGAGAACCAGACAATGAATAAGGATAACAGAAGAAGAACTGATGCCTCTGAACTGCAGCTAAAGAAGAGCTCTGAACATCAATGGACAGCCAAAAGGATAAAAAGATATGTCAGGGAGGGTGTAGCCAGAATGTTCTCTGGAGGTAAAAATGATAGTCTTTGCTTCACATACTTTGGGCATGATGCTAGGAGGGGTATTCCTTAGAGAAGGCCATGATGCTGGGAAGGGTGAAGGGTTGGCAAAGGAGAGGAAGACCACAGACCAGGTAGATTGACACAGTGACTGCCGAAATGGGCTCTAGTATGTCAGGAAGTGTGAGGATAGTACAGGATGGGACAGAGTTCAGATCTGTTGTTTGTAGGATTGCTATGAGTCATACTCAACTCAACAGCACCTAACAACAACTATCAACATTTCGAAAACAAAAATTATTAGAACTGTAATAAATCTTAAGAAGGTAGTTATGCCTGTATATCATATATAGTAATCATTTATAATTTGTTTCTCAGGAATCTTACCTTTGAAGAAAGTTCATTTTCATCAATATCAATCTCTTCTGAATTTTCATCAAAATCTTCCATCTCAGCACCATCATCCATAAATTCTGCATTAACTGAGATGAGCAGAAGACCCAAACATAGCCTAAAGCCTTGAAAATGCATATTGATTATCTGTGAAATTAAGAGTAGACAGTAAAAATAAAGTTCTGATAAATTCATATAAATGTATCTTAAAATAACTTACTCTTAAGCTCCTATATTTTAAGGTGGCCTTTAAAGCAAATAACAAAATTACATGAACTATGTTTTAAACAAGTGAAAATAAAAGTTTCACATCTAAACAGAAACAAATTCTATAGTTGTAGGCCTCAAGTAATATGAAATATATATATACATATGCCATTGCCATGGATTAAATTGTGTACTAAAAAAAGTTATGTCAAAATACCAACTTCTGGTACTTATGAATGTGAGTGACTCTGTTTAGGAAGAAGGCTTCTGAAGATGTTACTAATTAAGATGAGGTCATACAAAGAACAGGATACGTCCTAATCTAGTAAAATGAAAAGAGATATAGAGTAGGGAAAAAATATGTGATCAGAGTCACAGAGCTACTACCAAATGTTGGGGGAAAGAAGATCTAGAATCTTCAGAGACAGCATGGTCCTGCCAACATGCTGAACTCAGCCACACAACTTTCAAAACTGTGAGATAAATTCTATTTTTCTGAGCAGCTCAATTGGTGGCATTTTGTTATAATAGCTCTAGGAGACAAAGGAAGCTAAAGGGGAAACCCTCAAATTTAACATAAGCTATTGCTGAGAATCACTACTAAATAGTAATTTGATCAGGTGGCTAACTATAGAGAAAGCAATGCATCATTCTTACACTATGATTACTCAAGATGTTTCTCTCTATATAAATACTTCAAAATTTGTGTTCCTTATGACTTATCAAGTATCTCTTGACAGAAACACATGATTTATATAATTACATCCTTCACTCAACAGTGGCTAACATCAATTATCTCCATTAGTACATTAAATATGCAAATTTATTTCTTTCTGTTTATGTTAGAAAGCAGTGCTACAATCCCAAAAGCAGGTGCAGATCAAATCCACCAGCTGTTCCACAGGAGAAGGATGGGCAATCTTCTCCTGCAGTGATTTACTGCCTCTGAAAACTCACTGTGGGGGTCAGCTATGGATTGGTTCCAGCCTGACAGGAAAACAACATGTACTTTAAGTACACAGTAAATATAGGCACTGAGAAAATGTTGCACTTTTAGATGTTAACAAAGTGGCTGGTCATTCAGGTGGTCCAGAAAATAGATGCATTACTTTTTAATAAAATTATACTGATATGAAAATTGAGAGAATAAAATATGAAAGAACTCTTAGACCATCAAGAACAGGTCTATAGTACATTCAAAATGAGATAGTGCTTTACATCTCCCAGAATAACTATAATTAAAAAGAACTGAATCACAAAATGCTGAGAAGATGTGAAGACATTAGAACCGATATACAACATGAGAATATGAAATTTTGTGACAGATTTGGAAAACAGATGACAGTTGTTTAAACACCCTCGCCTACCTACATATCCAAAAGAAAAACCAAAAACATAAAACTACCAAAGCCACTGCTGTCAAGTCAACTTCAACTCATAGGGACTCGATAAGATGCAAAACTGCCCCAAACAGTTTTACTAATTTAGTCAAAAGAACCAGCTAATTTAATCCCTACATCTGAAAATATATATGACAGGAATTATTATTATAACTTTTCAAAAGGAAATTTGGAACATTTAAAAAACTTGCTCAAAGGCATGTAACTGCAAATGTGATGAGTGTAATTAGAATCCAGAACTTTTCTTCTATGTTCCATGTTCTCTTTCTTCACTGCTTTATTATATGCTTGTTAAAAAATAACACAAAAAAATCCACAAAATTCGTAACAAGGTATGTTTATAAACATTTTAGAAATTTTCAAGATTTAGGCCAATAGTAGTAGAAGTGTATTAGTATATAGATATTTTCTCAACAACAGCCATACCATTACACTTCTTTTGTTGATATGTGCTATGGAGTTGGAACCAACTCATAGCCAAACCTCTAGCAGGTTTTCAGAGGCTATAAATCCTAAGGGAGGAGAATGCCCATTTTCTTCTGTGGAGAAGCTGGTGGATTCAAACCATATGCCTTTGGACTGATGTGTAATTCTTTACCACTAGGCCATCAGAGCTTCCTCCTATCGTACTGTTGTTGTTGTATACTGTAGAGTCAGAACCGACCCATAGCTGACCCTCCTGCCTACCCCTGCCCCAACAAGGGGACAGTGCTATACCCTATTTCCTTTTTAATTAGGCATGACTATGTGACTGTTAGAAGGCGCTCTGGTGGCCTAGTGGCAAGAAGCTACAGTGCAATCCTGAAGGGAGGCAGTTCAAGGCCTCTCCTAGCTGCTCCATGGAAGAAGATGGGCAATGTCCTCCTGTATCATCAACTGCTTCTGACAACCAACTGGAGGGTTAGCTATGAGTCAGTTCCACTGTACAGTACACAATAACAACAAAATGTGACTGTTATAGCCAATAAAATGTAAAAAGATTATAAAAAACTTTCCATGATCTTTCCTCCCAACTTCTAGTTTGATGCAGGCAATTTTGAGAGCTAATGCTGAAGTGAAGAGAGTGGAATTACAAGTTAGGAAGAGGCTAGGACCCTCAATAACTACTCAGAGGATTGTCCTCCACTTATTAGGAACATTAGAAACCGCTGTGTTAAGCCTCTGAGTCTTAAATTTTCTATCTGATCAGCTAGCATTCTCTTAACTTATACTGTTAACCAAATCTGGATTCTGTCATAAAGCAGCAAGATGTATCTTTCTAAATAGAAACACCTTCCCACTTTCTTCCAAGAAATTCAAGGATGGTGTGACAGGGAATAATAAAATTCATCATCCAGTAATTAATTGAAAAAATTTATAATTTTCAATTATGTGCCAGACACTGCTTATAGTAACTGGCAAGACTGAACAAATAGTCTCAGAGAGTTTAAGGGCACAGGACATAAGTCAGATGTAAACAAACATTCCAGGTATAATATGTAAACTACAGTAAGTGAAAGAAGCCAAGAAAGTTAGACAATCACTGGGAAGCTGAGTTTACATTAATAAAGGAAACTTTAGGATCATCCTCTTTGAGAAGGCAACATTTTAAGTGAAATACGAAGGATACCAAAAACCTAATTTACTACTGTTGAGCAATCAGGACTCATATAGTGATCCTGCAAGATGTACAGAACAGCTCCTTTCTGTTTCCCAGGGTGTATGTACATCTTTATGGAAGCACACTGCCTCATCTTTCTCAAGAGGATCTTGAGAAATCCCCAATCTACCATCAGGGCTCCTATGTGAAGGATAAACAGAATTCATTCCTTTGTACAAAGGGTAGAGGCAAAAGCAACATCATTTGATGAAGGAAGTAAAAGGAAGAAAGTAAAGTAAAAAAGAAAAAGGATGGCTGTTTATGAGTATTTGTGATTTTCAAGGCATCTTAACTTCAATCTTTATAGGGCTCTAAGGAGCCTGTAACCATGGTGGCACCATGGGTAAGCATTTGGTTGCCAACAAAATGATCAGTGCTTGGAAACTACCAGATGCTTCCCTGAGAAGACGCAAAGCCTTAGAAAGCCCATGGGCAGATCTATTCAGGCCTACAGGGTTGCTACAAATCAGTTTTCGTTTTGGATATTTTATGAGCATGTGTTATTACAGTTGCTGTTAGGTGCCATCCAGTTGACTACAAGCCTGAGCAACCCTAAGAACAACAGATCTCCGGCGCTGGCTGAAAATCGCCTGTGACTTCATCCATAGCCACTGGTGAGAGTCAGC